GTGCAGAGTTAGCCATACATGAAATTGAAACCTTTGAATGTGTTCTTTGATCAATGTTTGAGCAACCTACTGGTGCCACTGGAGAAAATTGAACATGTTATCAATGTGTAATTCAATTTCCTTGATGATTTTGGTTCAAAACTGATTCCTCCAAATTAACTAGATAATTGTTAATTGGTATGCCATGAGATATTGAATGCAAAAGATCTTCTTCATAATTGCAATAAGCAATCTAGAAGGTGGGTGTCACATATCAGAAGCCAATGATGTTGGCGGTTTGAGTCTAAAGTCAAGTTTGAGTCTAGTTAGCACTGATGTAGAAACATTTTCAATATTGTGTGATTCTTGGATAAACTTTATACTTGTTGATATATTAAAGATTTTTTGCAGTGTATTTTCATGTTAAGAGTTTTTACAAGTCCTATTTCACTAGGATTTTTTTTAGATTTCTCTTTAGGCAGGTTTTAGAGAATAGTCGGATCCAATATTTTTGAAATGCAGTTTTAACATGATTTTAGTGGTGACTTTGTTCCTCATTTTTATTAGATACATGGTCCTTTGATTTCATCAAAATGCTCTAAAACAGCCTATTGTGTAGACCGCTCATATAGTATCACTCATTTGTGAACTAAGGCAATAAATCTTGTGCAATACAATGAAAAGTGGGAGAAAAGAAACAAACATGTGTTGAGATTGGGCAAGCGACCTATATTGACAGTAGGCCACCAGAGAATAGATGATGATAGGTACTTTATGCTCATTTATGTTACCACTTTACCACTTTCTCTTTGTTTCACTTTGTCTTCTTATTCCTTTTCTTCTCATTGTAAAATTGGTAATCAAAGTTGTTAAAACTTAAAAGACTCTGAATTGAGCAACAATTAGTTTAATATATGGGATAAATATGGCAAATTTCATAATTTGTATTTTCTTATTATATCTTATTCTTTTAAGTTTTATGTAACTGCATAGCAGCTAGCTCTTAGAAGATAGATATATTGCTTGTTTGTTGCCCACATTTGTTTCAAAAGGTTGGTTGCAAAGTCTTTCATGAAATGAAAATTATAAGCCATAATATGGAACTTTAGTTGGTCTGTTTAAGTTGTGGCATAGGTGCTTTTGAAATTTATTTGGTTTCATGCTAGGAAGATCTTTCCATAGATCTATTTTCTTAGTACTTGTCAGGGTATTTGCTGAAAATTGATAGAAGAAGAAAGACCATAGTTACCTGTGTGGATCAGTTTCAATCGGTGATATGGGGTGTCAGATGTATCAGGGATAGATGGTGTGTAGGACCATAGGATAAGGTGCTTTGTTACCGTTTATGCCATGCATAGTTTGCTATATCAGCCAAAACACTGGATTCATATTAGTTACATTTTAAGGGAGATCTGATTGTGACCAACTTTGATTTCTTGGACTTATAGTGAGAAATCAATAGAATTAAACAAAGTCCAAAAATAATTGGTTGAATTTGACTAATATAGCCGATTTGATAGCCTTAAAAGAAGAAAAATAAAAGAGAGGTGAGGAAAGACAAGATGGAGGAAAGAGAAGAAAGAAACTTGTGCCTTTGGAATTGAGACGGAGGTTATGTTCTTTGTTGTACTGCTAGGTGCTAGGCAGTGGCCAAACACCATTGCTGTAATGTTCATTGTTCACTGCCATATAGGACAGAATGGTAAGGATGTCCGGAGAGAAAAGTGAAGCATAGAGAATTGCCATTAATATAAGGATGCTATCTTAGAGAAGGGAGTGGTGATAGGATTTGTAATTCATTCCAGATCCCATGATAATTCGCTTCATTATGCTCTAGTCCACTAGACACCTTTTATATATTGCCAGTCAGTTAAAGAGAAATATAAGTTTGAAAGAGATGAGGATCAACCTTCCCTGTTGTTTCATTAAAGTATGATGTTAGCTGAACCATATCATCACTGATCTTGGCTGCTAATTGCGTAACAGCAGAACTCAGTTGTCTTTTAATTTTTGTGTTTTGGCCAACATACTCCCTCTATATCCCTTCTGCAATATGGAATCTAGTTGCTTTCCAACTTTATGGTGGATCATTAGGTTTGCTTAATTAGATTCTTGGTGTTGTTTTATTTTGTTATATATGTATGTAAAGGTCTATATGATGAGTCATTTTTTTGACTTCACAAATATTTATCTTCTCAGTACGTTTGAGAGCTCCAAAGTGGTTAAAATGTCCAACCGGTGTATCATTTGGTTTTGGTGGCAAGATTGTATCATTTCGGCCTTGTCAAACAGCACTGGGAGTTCCACCATCTTCTTCAGAGGTAAACCTAAGATGTCATCAAGTGTCTTTTGATGCTTTCTGATTGAATTTCTTCTTTTCTTTCAGGTTTATGTGCATGATTTAATCACTGAGCAAAGTTTGGTGAGACGGTCCACTGAATTTGAAGCTGCAATACAAAATGGGGAAAAAGCATCACTTTGTGCTTTATGTGAAAAGAAGTCACATGATTCTATGTGTGTCATCTTTATAAAAGAATTTGGCCCTTGTCTTATTAATAGGCAACATTTTGTTTAAAATTTTGTTTTCTCTCTTCCTAACAGATTGGAAGATGACAAAGAAACATGGGGCTTTTTGAAGATTATGTTTGAGGAAGAGGGAACAGCTAGGACTAAGTTGCTTTGCCATCTCGGTTTCACTATACCAGATGAGAGTAGTGATAATACCTCTGATAATCTTGGAAAGCTATTAGATAAAACTCTTGATCTTGATAACAGTTCATTGGTTGAAGGTGAAGCCAGTCTTTTTGCTATTGACAACGGTGAAGAGTTCTTTAACAAACCTCAAATTAGTGAGGATATTTTGACAGACGAAGATAGTGTTGTTCCTAATGGGAAAGAAGTTCACAAAGAACTTGAAGAACCTACAGGGACTAGTGATCCTGCAGTTGATGATAGCATTCAACGTGCTTTAGTTGTTGGAGACTACAAGGGAGCTGTTCTACAATGCATTGCTGCAAACAGAATGGCAGATGCATTAGTTATTGCACATGCTGGTGGTCCCTCGTTATGGGAAAGTGCACGCAATCAATATCTTAAGAATAGTCTCACACCTTATTTAAAGGTATTAATGTTTTAATTAAGCATTAATTTTCAAGTGTTTCTCAAATAGATTTTTGCTTTGTTGTATTAATGTGGATTGTTCAGGGACACATTTTACATAACTTTCTTTGGGCAGAATTTTCTGGAGGTTAGTATTCTAATTTTGATGCCAGTTATTTTCAGGTTGTATCTGCAATGGTGAGTAATGATCTCATTACCCTGGTTAATACCAGACCCCTGAACTCATGGAAAGAAACTCTTGCTCTTCTTTGCACAGTAAGTTCTCCTTCATTTAAACAAACCAACATTGCTGTATCTATTTGTTCCCTTGTATATCTCCTGTTATCAAGTATTTTAATATTTATTTGGTTCCTTTAAGAACAATGTACTCTTCTTTTGTTTTATGGCAACTTTATATGTAGACTTTAGAAATTTCTATAGTCAAGCTGGTTATAATTGGGTTCTTTGATGAGATATTGCCTTTCCATCAAAAACTAGCGCTTCTAAGAATTTGGTCTTCCCTTTGTCTTTGATTACAATGGAACTATTGAATACCAAACATGTTTTTGTAAGGACAGCCTCATTGAAGAAAACAGCCTGATTGAAGAAAGCTATACCACCAAAAACATTACAAAGGTAACATAAATTAGAATGAAGAGATTAAAGTGCTCTTCCTAGCTAGGTATTAAATCTTTTCTACCCAAATGTTAGGGCTTGGCTAACTGACTTGTTGAATTTGGCATAAAACTTGAACTTAATTTAGATTCAAAATTAGAGTTTTGGCTGAACATTAGCTTTGAATATGCATAGGCTGTAAGATGTTCTGTGTTTTTATGGACTTTACTGGCAGGTCTCAAAAGTTAATATGCTTTAAAAAATGTAATAAAGGTGCTGATCTTGTTTAAACAGATCTATTTCCTGTTTAAGTGATGATAGATATTGTGCTTTCGGGTTTCATTGGGTTCTGCATCATTTGTTTTTATTGTAGATAAAATTTAATTATCTTCCTAAATACTTGCATCCTCTATTCTAGTATGTGCCATGTTAAACTTTACTTAAATGGAAATAGGTAAGAAGAATAAAATTGGTATAATGTGAAATGACTTGAATTTCTGAATTAATTTCTTTACATTGATTCGTAGCCAGATGTGCATTCCTCATCATCTGGCTTCCTGCCTCCATGTCAATTATTTATATGCGTGTTATGTTCCTCACTCTCATGATTTATGCTATCATTGCAATGTAACAGTTTGCACAGAAAGAGGAATGGACTGTTCTGTGTGACAGTCTGGGTTCAAGACTTATGACAGCAGGAAACACACTTGCTGCAACTTTCTGCTATATCTGCGCTGGAAATATTGACAGAACTGTGGAAATTTGGTCACGCAGCCTGAAGCCTGATAGTGAAGGAAGGACTTACATTGATCTTCTTCAGGTAGCTTCATTAAATCGCAAGCTTAATTATCACTTATGAAAACCAGCAGAATAATGTTTTTTTTTTGCTTTATCATAGGATTTAATGGAGAAGACTATAGTCCTCACCCTTGCAACTGGACATAAGCGGTTTAGTGCTTCTTTGTCTAAACTTGTGGAGAATTATGCTGAATTACTAGCTAATCAAGGGCTTCTCACTACTGCAATGGAGTATTTAAAACTATTAGGATCGGAAGAACCTTCACATGAACTTGCTATCTTGAGAGATCGAATTGCTCTCTCTGCTGAAGGTTGTCTAAGAGGCTTCATTGATTACTAGATCTGTCTTTTGTAGTTTAAATAAACTATAATTTTCTTTGGTGATGATTATGAATGATTTTAGTGCTACTAATATGTTTATCTGTGGAAATTAATAAACTTGCGCAAGCCATTTTGTAATAACTTATAACTTGGTTTCCTGATGATTGTGAATGATTGTTCTACTATCATGTTTCTGTAAACGGTAATAAACTTATACAAGCCACTTTGGTCTAATAATAAGATAGTTCAACTTTACTGTCCTATGGGTTTGATCATTTCCCCCTTTCACGATTTAAACTGTTTTCACTGGATAAATTGGAGGCTTTTGAGAGAATGATTTCAGCCTGTTTGACATAAAAGAATCATGTTGCATGTCTTCTAATCCCTCCTTTTCTGATTCATCCTCTGTCTTCACTGCTACATCATGGAAGAATGTCTTGGTCATCATTTTATTACATTGTTATGTTCATCTATAGTGTTTTTCTTCAAATCTTTACAGTCTCATCTGGATCTAATAGGCATCAGTCACACCTTTTTTTGCATTAAATTACTCAAATGAACCATTGTCCTTAAATCTTTGTTACTGTATATTCTTGTTTTACACCATTAGAATAAGTTTGTCCCTTCATAAGATGCTTCCACTATTGCTGGTATATTTGCCTGCACTAAGCTAGAGGCATTGAGGCTACCTGATGATTGTATTTACCTGTGCCAAGTAGAATGTACTGTGTCAGTATGATATCAAAATCGAGATATGGGATTATTGTGGATTCATTGCTGATAGTTCCTCCTTGGTTCTACCTTATCTGGAGAGCTCTGAGAATTTCTTCAACCACATCAAATGTGTGGTCTTCCTAACCTCTCAAGCATCCTCTCAACTATATCTCTTTAACATGGCACTTTTTCCTCTTGGATATGATCTACTGTGAGTGTGAGCATTTATCTTCTCCCATTGCCCACCCCTACTTCATGTCCCCTGCCACCAACCTACTTACTCAATCCTGTTCTTATGATGGTATTATCCTCAGCCCAATTACAATGCTTCTTGCTTTGCTGATTGACTATAGCTGGTAAATGCTGAAGCACAGTATGCATGTTTTTATTACAGTTTCTTCTAAATATAACATTGGTATTTACTGGATATATTTGTCATAATGATTACTTGATGCAAATTGGACAAATAAAGGGTTTATGTTTCTTCATTTTAGACCATTGAAAATCATTATTTCCTTCTTAACTGGTCAGTTTGAAAATCACTGGATATATTTTGTCATTTATGTGGATAATGTTTGGCTCTGGCTCTTCTTTTCTCTTTTTCATTCTCATTTCTTTCTGCTTGAGGTGGAGGGAGAGTACTTTAAACATTCTATACGTTGCTTATCAGCCATGCAATTCAGATAAATTTCTAGTTCTGTAATATTAACACACTATAATCTTGTACTTTTTACATTCTTTGTCAGAGAGGGAGGCACCGAAAGGTCTGTTTTATGAAAATACTTCATCACAAGCTAAATCTGATTATGGTGCAGATCATTCCAGCTATGGTGCTGTAGACCAATTGCAGAGCTTTTTTCAGGTTATATTCTGTATTATCTTGTAAAATTGGTTTACTGTTTCCTTTTGACAGGGTCTGCCGTACCGAACTGTACCGCCCGGTACGGGCGGTATGTACCGGTCCGACAGGTTGTCGGTACGCGGACCGCTTGTTACCGGTCCGAGTGCACTGTAGCACTGTAGCAGTGCTGCAGTACTCGGCACACCTGGGTGTACCGCTCGGTATACCGTACCGTACCGGTACCGAGCCCAGGTCGAAATACCGGTACGGTACGGTATTGCGAACCTTGTCTTTCGATATTCTACTGATGTCTTTCTGAGTAGATTATGGCTCTCATCAAAAAATAAATTGTGTTCAAATTAGGATAAGAGTGTATCCCAACCACATCACAATGTTGCTGGTGCTCCACATGCTGAAATCTATCAGCAATCTCCTGGTTCTGCTTATGGAGGATATCAACATGTGCAACAGAAGCCACAATTCCCTGATTTTAGCAACCCCATGCCGTTTCAACCAGCACAGCCAGCTCAAATGTTTATCCCATCACAGACGAGCCAGGTTCCACAGGTACCTGTTTAATTTCTTGATGGCAACCAATGGTAGTTGCTGCTTGTGTTCTCATGCTGTTTCTTTAATATTAAACTGTACCAACTGTTGTCATATGTTGTTTTGGTGACCTCAGAATAACTTTTTTTCAGCCCTGACATCAAGTTTTCTGTTCCAGTTTAATTTGCATTCAGAAATGCACTTCTGAAAAAGTAAATTTGGTCCCCAAAGTTACTGTTAGTATGGACAATGTATGTAATTGGTCCAAGAGGTTTAGCCAAGCAAATTCTGTGAGAATTGCTGATTTTGATTTTGGTTATATTTATATGCAGAGTAGTTGAGAACTTGAGATTGTGTATTAAATTCTAGGTATCCATTTCAGAATTATGCTCCAGCAATAAGGTAGTGGATCCCTCTGGGAATCATAATTTCTAACCTTTGGAGTCATGGTTACTAGCTTCAAAGACTGCAGAAAAAGAAACTGGCATCTGGCAACTGGAGCATTATTGAAGAGGAGAGGAGAGAACTGTAAAACTATTTTTGAAAAAGGAATAAAATGTGTAAAACATAATAGAAAAGGCAAAGAGAAAAAAAAGTTAATTTACAATAATACTAGCTATAATAAAAAGAATTTATTGTTAATTTTATGTTTTGGTGAAAAAAGCTCAATTAGTAACTTTAAAAAATTGTATACATATTTATATGTGTAGATCTTGTCCCAATGCCTCCTAACTTTATCTTTTTAGATCTTGTCCATTCCCAGACCGGCATCTTATAATCTACTTCCAGCAACTAAGCTTTTATGTTGTATCAGCTATCTAATATATTGAGCTAAGACTTTATAAAACCTCACTGCTTCGAGCCATTTGTGCAAGTTGTGCTTGTGGTATATGGTCATGGGACATGGCCAGAGTACAAAAATTTGTAAATTAAGATAGAAAAAAGGCTGATCTTGAAGGTTGGATTTTTTAATTAAAGGTTTATTTTGAATTAATATCAACAAATCATTTACATAACAAATGTTATACATTGTAATAGTTTCTCTGTATATATTTTAATAATTTTCTCTTTATTGCATGTGTACTAGTATTTATTCAATATGTTTTTTTTTTCATTTTCTTTCATGAATCCACCAGTAATAATCTTGTTTGATGTCAGCAAAATTTTGCTCCACCTGCTGCTGCAGCACAGCCAACAATAAAACCCTTTGTTCCTGCAACCCCTGCAGCCCTTAGAAATGTGGGACACTATCAGCAACCTATCTTGGGTTCTCAGCTATATCCGGTCTGTATGTTTTTTGCCATTTGCTACATATTTTGGTCGATTGTTTAATCTTAATTTTGTACGCTCTTTCTGTAGGGTCTTGCCAATCCTGTCAATCAACCTGGACCTCCAGTTCCTGCTTCACATGGTGTTGGTACATCTCAACCAGCAGCCGCCACTGGGCACAGATTTGCACAACCTGCTGCACCTGGCTCTGCACCTGGCTCTGCACCAAGGGGTTTCGTGCCAGTTCCCAATCCCAATTTTGCTCTGAGGCCTGGTATGAGTCCTGTACAACCTTCAAGCCCAACAAAAGCATCACAAGTGCAGTCAGCGGCTGTTCCATCAGCTCCTCCACCTACAGTACAAACAGTTGATACATCAAATGTGCCTGGTAATACTTGTCTCTGAATGTTCAAAATTATTTATTTCATTTTGTGTTGGTTTCACTTATAACCTCTCTGTAGCTAAAGTATTTTGTAATGCTTTTCTATATAATTTCGCCTGTGAAAATGTGGACATTGACATTTGTATTTTGTTAACCACGCATGCATTTGACCTCTTATTATTAGCTTGATCAGCTATTTATGGATTATCACGAATATCTTATGCTTCTTGTGTTTAATTTCATGCATCTTGATGCTTGATGGGAAGAAGGAACTGACACCTTTGCTTGACAAAGGAGTGAAAAACAGAGACAGAAGCATATCTTTCACATCTATCCATATGCAGATAAACCTGCCATGGTAGTTGGGATATTATGGCTTTTGTTGTTGTCATGCAATCGTGCTTATGCAAATGCCAAGTTAAATATTTAAGTAAAGATTGAATTAAATTTAGAATTACTAGTGTTTTTTTTTAGAGGAGTTACTGTATTAAGTTGTTTATTTTGGCATTAAATTTCTGTTGTTGCAAGGCTGGAAATGAGACCAAGCTATGTCAGGTCCAATGAGTCATGTTGCATCATAGTTAAGTTAGTGCCAATCCATTTGGGCTTTTGGTTCCTGATCAAGCCTGCTCAAATTAGCTCAACTAAGCTTTTGGATCACGGTTTGGTTTGGCCTAACTTGGCTCAATCTATGCAAAGCCTTTATTATAGTGAGAATGTGATCATCCTAGACCTCGAGGCACAAAAAAGACCAAGTCCTCAAGTTCCTGCTGCACTATGTGCAGCTCTTTTCCTGTCAAAAATTGCTGTCGGTTGCGGCATTTGCTCTCAATTCGATGTCAGTGGCTTCCCCAAGATAGATTCATTGCCTCCATCACTTAATGAGCCAAGCTCCTTGCATCACACCCACTTTGACAAAGGACAAAGCAGGGGCCCAGTGTGTACTTCTGCCCTTTGCTCCTACATGCCTATCATATCTGCTGCTGTAGCCACCTTGTCCTCGACCAACAAAGGAAGAGGGAAAATGATGCGAAAATAGGGGAAATGTTGGTAGTAACTACCTATGTCATAGTTGTTAGTGTAGTGGAACAGCAGAGTTGCAGGGTTGCTCCTACACTGGTGCCTTTTCTTTTTCATTTTGGAATTAAATACGTTTTATTTCACTCTGAGTCATCCAGCTGGGTCGTGCTAGGCTTTGGCTTTTTCCGAGCTGCACCTAAATTTTTTTGACTTATGCCTGATTCAGCCAGGTCTTACAAGCAGTTGCAACAGGCCAGAGTTTTGTATGGACGAGCCTTGGCTTGGCCCACTATATGTCCATATAGTTCCTACTCTTTATGTTGTGAAGCCTCATGGAAAGTGAAAGCTCCCAAGGTTTCCTGCATAATCTCTTATTTTTTTTATTGGTCATTAATTTTTCACTCTCTTCAAGTCTCTTAGTTGCTCATTGATACTTACCAATCTTTCAGTGTGTTCTGATGAGTGTTTGGTGAGTAATACTTGTGTGTGGTTGGTCTGTTTAAATTTACTGATATCTAAGGTTCTTGGTCTTTGTTTGTGCTCTTCATGATGTGTATATATTCTTACAATTTTGGTGTCTATGCCCACCTCCCTTCATAAGCTGTTATGTGATAACACTATGAATTGCACAATTTAAAACATGCTAACATGCAAGTTTCTCTGTGTGCTCTTACAGCTGAATTGAAGCCTGTTATCACCACTTTGACCAGACTATATGATGAGACATCAGTAGCTCTTGGAGGATCTCATGCAAATCCATCTAAAAAGCGGGAAATTGAGGATAACTCAAGGAGAATTGGATCATTGTTTGCAAAACTTAATAGCGGGCACACATCTCCTGATGTTGCTACTAAGCTTGTTCAGCTTTGCCAGGCTTTGGATGCTAGGGATTTTGCTGGTGCATTACACATCCAGGTACACGTGTCACTTACTAGAAAATTATTGCTGCTAGTGAGAGAACCATCTTCATCCATACTTTATAATTATTTCATTCATAAGCTACATCGAGGAAGTTAAGTATATGCATATTATTATGACTTTGTTTCTCCTCTGCACTAGGTTCATTCTTTATTGTTTTACATTTGTCTCTGGAAGCATACTGCCAATGTATATCAATCATGAAGGGTTCTCTAAGGATAGGAGAAAGCATTAACAAAAACTATCTGCAGTTTTAACTTTTCCTCTTTGGTTTATGAGATCATTAGCAGGTTTTGTTACTGTTTTTGAGTTGGACATGTCCGATTATTCTTCAAAAATAATACAGTCCACTTGAGCAACATCTTCCTGCCTTCTCCACTTGAGATTATTTACTGATTATTTTTAAGCATGTGAAAGCGGCGGCCTAGTGCATGATGCCCCTATCAATGGTTTGGGCATAGTGACACAGTTATTACCCATGCATTTATGTGAGTTGAATCCTGGTTATATCAAGGTCCCGAAGGAGTGACCTTACAATGGCACCAAATCTCACATGTACCAACAGGATGTTTTAGTGAACCCTATTAATATAAGAAATTAGTGAAATATGTCAATACGTTTTGGTTTAATTGTTTTTCTAGACAAGTTTATCATGTTAAAATTGCTATTCGTGTTGCTTAATTGAATATCTCGCAATCTATAGTGCCCAACTAAAGCTTAGTATTTTGTTGGTTGACAAATTGTTTCATGGTGCCAGGTGGACATGGCAAGAAGCTATTGGAATGAGTGCGATGTCTGGGTTGCTTCATTAAAGCGAATGATCAAGACAAGGCAGAGTGTCAGATTATAAGGGAGCTGAGGCATTCCTTCTCTTGGTGTAGTCAGTGTATAACTTTGGTTTTCCTGGTTTGTTAAACACTGTCACCTTTTTTTTTTGTAATTAACAGCATCATTTGTAGATCGACAACCTGTCACACATGCTACTTAAGTGGAGCAGCAATCCAGACCCCTCTTTCCATAAAAGTCTGGATATTTTCAGAGAATCAGGTTTCGGAATTGGTCTCAATATTTGTTGTACGGTGACATTTCAGCCAGGTTTGCAACGTCTTTCTTTGGTTCTTAATATTTTCTATGATGTAAGACTAGAATGCGAGTATTTTTGTTCAGCCTTCATGAGTGATTGGTGACATTTTCTTCTTAGTTCAATTATGACTATAATTAGTGATTTTTTCCTTTTCTGAGTGTGGTTTGTCTTTTTTTTTATATTCGTTGAACTTATCTTTTATTTCTTGTAGAGTGGATCGAGTGAACTTCCTGTTTTTGCCCCATGTTTTTATTTTATTTTATGGCAACTAAACATTGGGCTTAGTTAGCTTATTAGCATAGCTATCCTAGTCTTGTTAAGTTAAAATAATTAACCTAGTTCTTCTTGGAGTGAATGGGTTTACCAGTCATATATGATTAAAGTAGGATATCATCTTTATATTTATATTTATGAATGTTATCAATAATAGTACAACGGAAAAGTATATAATTATATAATATGTTAATTAGTTAAACAAAAAGGTGAGTTTTCTGTATTGGTTTTTGACACCATAAATATATATTCACAACTCACATATGCATTTATTACTTTTAACTCGTGTACATAAAAGAGTGTTTACATAGGTCATCATTTATATCTACTTTAGCATGAATCTATAATTGATCTTATTTCTTCCTTTCATATGGATGGATTAATCATGTTCTTATATGTAAAATAGGATCTATAATAAGTGATAATTTAGTATAAAATTTTAATTTAATATATTAAGGTTAGCATGCATCATATTATGTTTGTAATCTTTTTAAATTAGATGTATTAAATGTTCCTTTTTTAGTAATGTATAATTCTGTAACATGCTAGATATATAATTAAGAGATACAACTTTGATTCAAAGTAAATCATAATTCATGTGTGCTAAGGAAGATTATAGTACATGTAATGAAAATTTTTAGTCTGCTCATATACTCTCACGTCACATTTCATAACATCACACTGTACATATTTACAAAAGCATAAAGTCATGATAAACTCGTCTTCTTATAACCACTTTGTTAATATAAATAATATATGCATACCAATGTGATATGAATTTTAATGTATAATAAGTCATAATACTTATATGCACAAGTATATCAAAGCACATGCGGTAGGAAATCATAGCACATTTTAATCTTTATATC